ACCTTTACATTAACAGACTAATACAATACATATCCTTCTGTGATTGACTTATTTCACTCAGCATAATGTCCTCCAAGTTCAGCCACGTCATACAGTGTTTTGCAGATTCTAGTTTATTCTTTAGCATTGCATAGTATTCCACTGTGTGTATGTACCATAATTTGGTTATCCATTCCTCATTTGATGGACACCTACATTGTTTCCATCTTTTGGCTATTGTAAATAGTGCTGTGATGAACATGAGTGTGCATATATATGTCTGTTCTTGTCATGGCTCTCACTTCTTTAGGATATATACCTGGTAATGAAATGGCTGGGTCAAATGGTATTTCTAATTCCAACTTTTTAAGGAATCACCATACTGCTTTCCACAGTGGTTGTACCATTTTACAGTCTCACCAGCAGTGTATGAGAGTCCCAATCTCTCCACATCCTCTCCAGGAGTTATTTTTGGTCTTGTTGAACTTTGCTACTAGTGCTGGAGCAAGATGGTATCTCATTGTTGTTTTGATTTGCATCTAATAGCTAATGATCATGAGAATTTCTTCATGTTTGTTGGCTGCCTGAATATCCTCCTTGGTGTGTCTACTCATGTCTTCTGACCATTTGTTAATTGGATTATTTGTCTTTGTTTTTGAAGTGTTGGAGTTTTCTATAAATTCTAGAGAGAAGTCCCTTGTCAGGTATGTCATCCCCACATATTTTTCCCAGTCTGTAGGTTCTCTTTTGACTCTTTTGGAGAAGTCTTTGGAAGCATATAAAAATTTAATTTTTAGAAGGTCCCATTCATCTAGTTTCTCTTCTGCCCTTTGTGCATTTTGGGTTATGCTTGATAGTCTATTTATGCCATATATTGTTGTTGTTGTTATGTGCTGTCGAGTCGGATCCGACTCATAGCAACCCCTCCCTGGATTTCCAAGGCAGTATCACTACAGAAGTAGATTGTCCAACCTTACTTCCGAGCTATATATTAGGGCCCCTAAAATTTTCCCTAGTTTTTCCTTGAGGGACTCTATATAGTTTTAGGTTTCACATTTAAGTCTTTGATCCATCTGGAATTAGTTTTTTTGAATGGTGTGAGGTACAGATCTTGTTTCATTTTTTTTTTTTTTTTTTGCAAATGGAAGTCCAGTTTTGCCAGCACCATTTATTAAAGAAACATTCTCTTCCCCATTTAATGGATTTCGGCCCTTTGTCAAAGATCAGCTGATCATAGGTCGATGGATCTATTTTGGGGTTCTCCATTCTATTCCATTAGTCTATGTGTCTGTCATTGTACCAATACCAGGGAGTCGAACAAAATCTTTAACTTGATTTACCCTAACAAAGATATAGACCTGAGCTATCCAGTGCAATAGCTACCTACCAGCTACATGTGGCTAACAGACACTTAAAATGTGGCTAGTCCAACCTGAGATGTGCTTTAAGTATGAAATACCAAATTTTGAAGACTCGGTATGAAAAAAAGGAGTTCTGGTGGCATAGTGCCTAAGGCATTTGACTA